ATTACTTGCAACGCTAAAATACTGACTGTTGTTTGTTTGTTGAAATTTTAATTTAAATTTTTTTAATATAAAATTTGTTCGTCATTACAGATTAAATTTCATTCTTATTTCATTAAAATTTAAAAATGTTAAAATTTTAACGCCGGTGAGTATTTTAAATTCGTTCAGTAGTTCAAAGTCATAGAACTAGTAGTCATACGCATTAAGTATAGTTTACATGTATGTACTTATAAATAATATAAATATTTTTAAACATGAAGATGTATCGCAGAATGTAAGTTAAATGCTTTTATATGTTGTGAACTAAATTGTAAAGTGGGCTGTGTAATGTCTAGTTTTTTATAAAAAAAAGTAACTAAATTATGTCATTACTGGAGCGAGGTAAAGCGTGAAGCGGAAGATCGTTCGCGATGGCGATCTACTGTGGACGCCCTATGCCCCAGCTAGTGGTCATAGAATTTTAAGTAGTAATGTCATTACTATCTATTTCACATCATCATCATCTTTCAGATAATAAACAAATCGTTGTAAATACAAAAATCGTTAAAAATGGTTAAAGGTATTCCATAGAGATACAATTTTTCCTTAATTATGGCTTTCAAAAAACTTACAGCAGGTGTCAAAATATTAAGTGCATGGGTACGATGGGAAAGATTTCAAAATACATTTTTTTTAATTATAAAAACAAGATTGACGTTTAAGATAAATGGCGTGATTATCAACAGATACTACGAGTACTAGTATTCGGACAATAGACATGTAAATAAAAAAACAAGCGAGTAATTGAATAATAGACATTCGATCTGTCTATAAAACATTTCCAATTCCACGCTCGGCCTGTTCGTCGGGCACAGATTAAAAAGTAGTTTTCGTCATTCGCTTATCGATATAAGTTATTGTAACTGGCAATTTTTATTGCTGTGGTGTATCTGCGTAACCTTGTGAACAAACTTGTGTACCGATAACTCGAGACTAGTAATGAAATGAACGAGTCGTCTGAACTATTTTTACATTTAACGCGCCATTGTTCATGATGATGGGCCGATCTTGTCAAGCTGAAAACTTGAATAATAACTAGGTACAATAAAACTTAAATAAAATAAATGAAAATTAAAAAAAGGTTGTGTGTATTATTATTAATACACACAATTTGTTTTGATACCAAGTTTGGAACCTCATTTAAAATTAAAGTTAAGTCAATTTTTAGATCATATCAATAAATTGTTTTTACTAAATTCGCATATTGCGCTTACTATTTTGCGACATTGTATTCTTGTACCTAAATTTACGTACCTCCTTCGCTCGAGTCCAGTTTGGAAATGTGGTGACTTTTTGAACGAAATTGATTTCCATCTTAAATCAGCTCTAAAAAAAATTCTAAATTTATCTCTTAATGAATTAAGCTGGACTCAAGCTACGCTGCCAATTCGTTTTGGTGGTATCGGTGTAAGGAAAATTTCTAGTGTCGCTCTACCTGCCTTCCTTGCTTCCGTGCATAGCGTAAATAATTTATGTAATAACATCCTTAATCACGATTCAGAACTTTCCTATGCAGAGGAGGCAAGGATGTCTTGGCTGTCTATCTGTCCCAACGAAAATATCCCACTGGAAGTAAACCTACAAAAACAGTGGGATGTTCCTTTGGTGCGGAGAGTACAGAGAGATACGTTTCAATCTTTAGAAAGTAATTTAGAGCGTGCCCGTTTCCTAGGAGTCTCATCTAAAGAATCGAGTTATTGGCTTCACGCTTTACCATCAAGTAACTTGGGCACATTACTTGACGATGAAAGCTTACGCATTGCTGTAGGAATCCGTCTGGGGGCACCGATTTGTCAACCACACCAATGCCCTTGTGGTGTCAGTGTAGACAAATTTGGTCTCCACGGGCTTTCTTGTCAAAAAAGTGCTGGCCGTTTTTCTCGCCACGGTTCCCTGAACGACATCATCCGTAGGGCTCTTGTTTCCATCAATGTTCCATCTATTTTAGAGCCCTGTGGCATTTTACGCGACGATGGTAAGAGACCCGACGGTTTAACATTGATCCCTTGGGAGAGAGGCAAAGCCCTTGTTTGGGACGCCACTTGTGTAGACACTTTGGCTGCCTCTCATCTAAGGGGTACTTCGGTCAGGGCCGGGGCGGCATCGGAGGCAGCTGAAGTAAGTAAATGGCGCAAATATGAGTCTTTATGTTCAGATTATGTATTTGTGCCATTTGCTGTTGAAACATTAGGTCCGTGGGGTCCCCGCACATCAAATTTTTTTAAAAGTTTATGTCCTAGGCTTAACGCCGCGGCTGGTGACAAGAGAGCTGGTTCTTTTCTCGCGCAAAGGTTGAGCATAACTATTCAGCGAGGAAATGCAGCTAGCGTTCTTGGCACCACGCCGCGTGGATTAGGTTTATTAGATAATATGTAATTTTAGATAGATTTAATCTTATTAACACTCGAAAGTAGTTTTAGTTCTTTAGCGTAACAAAAGAAAAATATCTAAAATGTTGTCCTCTGTGCCAGTACTCTTTATTTGTGAAAAATACATTATAAGCTATTGTTAACAGTTTGATTAAGGGTTATTTTTTATTTATATCGTGAGTTTTATCATTTAATAATATTTATTTATCTAATATTTACAAGATTAAATCTATCTAAAATTACATATTATCTATTAAACCTAATCCACGTGGCATGGTGCCAAGAACGCTAGCTGCGTTTACTCGCAGAGGACTTATATAAAAACGTCAAAAGGTTGTAAATGTGCTTGTCAAAAAGTTGCCATGGCCACACCATGAAGTTGGTGGCGATTTTAAGGTGTCACACATCGTAAAAATACACTCCCTTCATTTTTCCCAAACGTGTCCAAAATAGTATAACGTAAAAATTAAACCAAATTATTATTTATAGTATAGAATGGTAATCTGGTGTCGCGTGGTGCGCTAACATACCCTCTGTACAGAGGAGGCCTTTTTCTTTTTTTTTTTTCTTTACGACACTGAAATTTTTCTTATCTGCAGGTAGTCTGGTAACGTTCTTTTAGAGTCAAAGAATTGAATATCATTAGCCATGTCCTCATTTTCTACTTTAAAATGATGCCCATTATGACATTCGAAAAAACTTCCATTGTTCACATAACCAACTTAGAAAACAAGAACAGAGTTGTATTTGACCCAGAGGTTATTTCGCGTATAGCTTTGATATATTACTGATGAAGATCGTATCCCGAAGAACTGATCTAAATCTTTGCCCACTATAGTTTTTTCTCATCGGTAAAAAAACGCGGATTTACCAAAAGCCATTGATTTAATTGAAAACAAAACTCGTTGTCATTATGATTTTTGCAGAGTTGTTTGATACTGACTAACTGCTCACTTAAAAAAGTATATTTTATCCTTACTAATACTCAATGGCGCAGTAATGTTTATTGTATTTTTATGTCGCAATAAGCCATAATTTTTAAGGTTCCGTACCCAAAGGGTAAAATGGAATCCTATTACTAAGACTCCGCTGTCTGTTTGTATGCCTGTCTATCCGTCTGTCACCAGGCTGTTTCTCATAAATCGAAATAGTTAGACAGTTGAAATTTTCACATATGTATTTCTGTTGCCACTATAAAAACAGAATAAAAAATATTTAAGTGAGGCTCCCATACAACAGACTTGATTTTTTCGCCGTTTTTATAGATAACTAGCTGACCTGGCAAACGTTGTTTTGACACAAATTATTTGTAGGGTACCAAAAAATGTTTGGGTTGGACCACCCTTAACGTTTAGGGGGATGAAAAATAGATGTTTTCCGATTCTCCACCCTGGCATATATGCACACAAAATTTCACGAAAATCGGTCGAGCCGTTTCGGAGAAGTTCAATTACAAACACCGTGACACGAGAATTTTATATATTAGATGGAATGGAACCCGTCGTGCGCGAGTCAGACTTCCACTTGGTCAGTTTTTTTAGGCAGGATAGGCGTATTTTTAATGGATGGATATAAATGGTCGCTAATTGCTTTCTTAAAGTAACAGCTGTGAAAGCTGTGTCCGGGCGATCACTTTTAATTGAATTGTATATATATCCTAGAAAACTCAATTATTGGTGCCGTCACCAATCAAAATTATTCCTTACAGTTTTAAGTGCCAACTTATCACATGCTCAGGAGTGAAGAAAAACATCGTGAGGAAACCGGCATGTTTCCCAAATAATAACAAAATAAAAATTGATGACATGTGAAGTCTGCCAATTAGAGGATTTGATTCCGGGTTCCTGGATCTCGGGATCTAGAGATCCCTGTCATATTGAAACCCGTAATTATCGGGATCTGATTCCGGGATTTTCGGAATTGATACATTTTTTAAATAAGTCAATAATAAGACAATAAGTCACCAGACGAAACGCGAAAGTATTTGTCATACTGCCACTTTACGCCGGTCTTCTGTGGGGTCGTGGTACTTACCCGGACGAGCCTGCCCATTCGTGCAACAGCCGAGGCTACTGCGTGGCTCTGCCACCGTTATATCCTTGAACTGTTGATGTAATTACATAATTATGTATTTTATTGGATATTACATTATTAAGAACTGTTTTATATGAATATATAGAACATAGAAATCTAGATAGCAACTCATATGAACGGGTATCGTGAACATTGCTGCTGCTGACGACCCACTTGGTGTAGTAGGTAGTGAACTTGCCTCTTGAGCTAGAGGGTGTGGGTCCGATTCCCACTACTGGAAAGTATTGTGTGATGAACATAGTGCTTTTCCAGTGTTTCGGGTTTTATACCTTTCAACACCTATAATATTTATTTATTTACAAAAGAAAGATTAGATCAATAAAAAAAAAAAAAAAAAAAGTATGTTTAAGTACGTTTATCAGTCATCCCATCATATTACAAGCGCTGTTTAGTTTGGGACTAGAGAACGTTGTTCAAATGTGTGTCTTGAATATTTTTATTTTATTATTGTTTTAGAGGACCCGCATTAGTTTTATATACCCTTAATATACTTTCTAGCCGTCTGCGGATTGATGTTGGGAACCAGGCTGGGATTCCTTGAGCGATGGATGTCTGGTCGAGCAGCTGCGCTCGCGTCCGCCGTGAAGGCCCACTTTAGAGCCCAAAGGGACTCTTACTATGGGGCGCCATTGTGGAAGTTCGCACCGTCCAACCTGTACAACACCTTCGTGAGGAGTGAGGAGACGATACATATGTGAGACATATTTGTACCCGACTGCGTCAGAAGGAGGGTCATGTTTTTCGAGACTATGTATGTATGTATCTATGTATAATTGTTTGGCACGCTCTGCAGCCTGAACAGCTTGATGGATTTTAGCTTGAGAGGTGTCGTTAGATTCGTATTTACTGTGAGAGTGACACTGGGTATATCAAAATAAAAAAAAATACACATAAACGCAGTCGGGTTTTTAGTTTTTTTATTTATATTCTACTGGTTTACCATCTCATCGTAGGGTTGCCACAGTGCCATAGACTCGCTTACGAGTCTTATTGTGTTAAGTGTTTTATATTTTAGTGTCCATGAATACCTACTTCATTATGAATAAATAGATAAAAAACATTCTGCTTGTCGAAATATTTGCCAGTTTGTTTTCACCTATTTTCCTTAACAAGTGAGAAGTAACGTGATGATTAATTTAATACCTTACTCATTTATTTCAAATCTATAAAATTTTTTTAGTTGTACTGATCGCTTAACGGTCATTACGGTCTCAGTTAGAAATGCAACTTCGTATATCTAATGATGACCCAGTAATCGAAAAGGTCAATAACTAAATATCTGCTAATCATAAATCTATTCAAAGTAAATTCGTTAGAACTTGTTTTAATTACCATTAATATTCCGGTAAAGTTCTAGGTTCAAGTTATAGAAATTTACCGGGTTTTGTATTCGTCAATGTAAAAAGTTATCGACATTAAACGGAACTTTCAGTACCCAAGAAAGAGAGTTAATAATTTCTCTTTCTTCAAACGTCCTTGATCTAATCCAGCAGTGTACCGAAAACAGCTATGCCCCGGCAGGATAGTATCTGAGCTGATGGACGAGGCGATGTCCCGGGCGGCTGGTTCCGCGCAGGACGACGGTATGCGTGAGATCTTCCTCAAGATCCTCGCCAACCCAGAGCTGGACACGAGGGACAAGAAGGCCGCCGTTATCGACTTCATCACCGCCGGCATTGAAACGGTAAGGCCATTTGCTGAAACTGTGATGGGTTTTAGGAAACAAAAGATATCGACCGTGACAATCCACTAACTAAGAAAACAATCGCAGCTACCATATACGAGTCAGGCAAGCCTATACAGGGAGGCTTTTCTAAGTGAATCCATTTTTTTAATTAAATTCTAGACATAAATAATGTTGTATAAAAATGATAAACATTTAAAATCACTCGGAATTAATTAATTACATTCATTTTAACTTATCTCAAAAAGTGCGAAATTTATGGGCAACTCATTTATTTTACGCGCGATCATTCATAACTAACACGCACACAAGTTCGTTTCAAAAGTATACGACGCATTTATGAATGACTACCGCATTGTCAACAAGTTCTGTTTTTTAGGGAATAGAAATGCAATTTTTTGAAAAAAAAAGTTTATTTTTATTTCAATAAACTATTATACTACTGATTCTGAACCTCCTGTGTGAATTTGGGCACCTTTAGAAGAGCCACCCTGTGTAATCACCGGCTGTCTAATACTGAGGTTAACCGTTTACTGAGCAGTGAATAAAAATGGCCCTTTTTGAGCTTGTCATATTCGATAAGAAATAGGAAAACTGAGATCAATTCAATAGTTTGTTGTTAAACTGCGAAGGAAAATAGACGCAGCCGTGTAGCTAAACCGACGCGAAGTCCTTTTGAATCGTGAGACGATTACGAAATGTTTTGTGAATTTTTTTAAACTAGAAAAGCTTCTTTACTTTGAAGTTTTTTGTTGACGTGATGATTACACGTTAAAATTACACTATTTTTTAGGATTTATCGCGTTTATTTTTAATTAGTTTTGAACGTTTTGAACCTTTGCAGCAAATAAGTTTCGTTTAGTTGCGGTAACATTATTGATAGATCCGGATCTCATAAACAGCTCTAGAGCTAGACTAGACCAAATGTTTATTGACCAGATTGGCTATAACAGTACACTGAGAGTGGGTAGCGTAAGAATTGAAAGAGTCAAAAGAGATGTCAGTTGAATTATCAAAAGTGGATATTTGTATTCTCTGATACTAACAGTTGTCTTGAAATCAGGCTCAGCGCCGTTACTAGCCCTGTAGTCCCGGGCTCATAGAATAGGGCTAAGGTATCTCCTGCTTGTCGTAAAAGGCGACTAATAGGGAACACGTATGGGCAGCAGCACGAAGAGGTCTCGTGTTGCTGCAAGAGGGTGAGTGAGTCGTAGAAGGTTTATTTTTCTCCGAGGCGTGCTCAGGCAGGTAGTACCGAAGGACATCGGTGCGTTCCATGGGAGATTCCGGAGTCTGGTAAGAACCTTGTGGTAAGAAACTCACATAACTCTGTCATGTTTGGTGATCTTTCGAAGATTTCCACCCCGATACCAAAAAAAGCCCGTAAGTAATGCGTATCGCCGTTAACAGTTGGCGAACAGTCTCGTGTTCCTGCTGTACCTGCTGAGCGGACGTCCAGACTGGCAGCAGAAGATCCGCTCGGAGCTGCCGGCCTGCGGGCATCTGCGCGTCGAAGAGTTGGCCGCCGCGAGCTCCCTACGAGCCGCCACCACCGAGGCGTTCAGGCTGCTGCCCACCGCGCCGTTCCTTGCGCGCCTCCTGGACGCTCCGATGACGGTGTCCGGGCATCGGTTGCCAGCTGGGGTGAGTCATCGTGTCTTCTCCACTACATAGTATAAAACAAAGTCGCCCCGCTGTTAGTCTGTCTCTATGTATGCTTAGATATTTAAAACTATGCAACGGATCTTGATGCGGTTTCTTTCACTAGATAGAGCGATTCAAGAGGAAGGCTTACATGTGTAATACATTAAGCCCCTGCGAATCTGAGGCGTGTCGCTAGCAACATATTATAAAACAAAGTCGCTCCCGATGTTTTTACGCTTAGATCTTTTAAACTATACGTTGGATTTTAATGCGGTTTTCAGCAATAGATAGAGTGATTCAAGCAGAAGGTTTATTTGGGGTGTGCAAACATATTATTATATACTATTAGCTTATAGCTACTTATTTATAAAACAAGTTCACATAAGCGTTAAGTGAAAGTATGTATATTAGCGTTTCGTCTGGTTAGTGAGGTGATCGGGGCCTACTTTTTTAATGGTTGGGAAAACTCTGCAACACATAATGCTGTAGATGTCCATGAGTAGTCATTTAATAACAGGTGAACCACTCGCTCGTTTTTCAACTTTATACATTAAAAAAGACACCGCCTATAGACACCGAAACACAACTTGTTGTGTTGCTATCCTTTGTTAAAATCATGAGAAAATCTTCTTCCCCTCGAATCGGAATGCTCAACGCCTTTTGAGTGACAGCCCAAGCCGAGGTCTCCTCTCGGGGACCCTTGAGCCTAATCACTCCATGGAGCGTCCACCAAAGCGCCCTAAGAGCTTGGCGACCTCCCATAGCGTGAGGGCCCGAGCCGAGGCTCAATAATAATAAGCCGAGGTAAAGGGCAGACGCCCCGAGCGCCAGGCCACCTCAAGTCCTGCGAAACTGTAAAGGCCCCTAAGGCCAACAGTCGCTCATCAAGCCAAAAAAAAAAGGCCTGGGTCCTTGCTTCCTTGATTTGCGCACATTGCGTTCTATTTTTAGAAATACTCTAATTGGAACATTTGTTTAATTCTAGAAGAAAGTGAGGTCAAACAGAGGCTATGGCTATGACTTTCGCTCGCTCGCTCTTAAATAGATAATGACGAATCATAAAAAAATATATTTATATTGCGATTACCAGTTGGGTAAATAATATACTAATGATTACATCGCTGGTTTTGTAATATTGTCTTTGATTAACTTTTAAGAGTTCACGCATATACGGTCGGTTTCAATATTCTATCTGTAGATTTGGTTTTTAGCGATTGGTATTTGACATTAGCTCCATAATACTCACGTTAAAAATTCTGTCCCCATTAAGCAAATCTACAGATAGATAGAATATTAAATCCGGCCTTTTGAAATCGAATAGATAAAATATTAAATCTGGAATCTTTGTGAATATGCGAAATATAACAAAAATATATCATAGTAGAGGGAGTTTTCGTATACGGCTTATTCGGCCGCGTTTTGTGCACAGATTAAATCTAATTAAAGAAATACAATACGGTCTGCGCAAGGAACACCTCCATAGACCCTTTATAAGCCTAGCTAAAATAAGCCTCCTCTGTACACCACATTTTATACCTAGTCTCGGGAGGTTCTAAACGTTCCTACTAACGGACACAGTCGATGACCGCCTGAGCAAAGATCAGTACCCGTCTTCGACGACACAGACGGCATTCCAGCTGCAAGCTCAGTTATTCTTAGCCTGCAAACGTATGTTCACCTAGTAGTTTCAGCTTTAATCTACACTTTTAATTTGAACTGGGCAGAGATTTTCTATCTTGTATAAGTGGTGGTGCAGTCGTGTAGATAGACATATTTGTTAAGCATAAACCTACACGTTATACTCTCTAGAATAAACGCAGCAAGTTGTTCCACTATTTAGTATTACGAAGGATAAAACAAACTTTTCGTTTGAACTCAGGAATGATAAATAACAAAAACGTTGAAGGTGGGAAAGCGGAGAAGACTTAAATAATGTAATTCTTGCACCAAAACCACATATTGTATCTTATTCAAGAACTGTATAATGAATTTTCGGGCAGATGCAACTTTCCTATGCGATAAGTTCTAATTCATTTCGACATTCATTCCGGCATTGTACAGTTACTCTTGCTGGTAGCACCTTTCAAGCGATATACTGAGTAAATTATAATAGTGGTAGGGCCTCGCAACAGTTTCCACTGTTGCACGAATGGGCAGGTCCGTCCGGGTAAGTACCACGGACCTCACAGAAGACCGGCGTGAAGTGTGTTATACTTCTGCGTTTCGTTGAGTGAGTTGGTCGGGGCCCAGTTTATTAAAAGGTGGCAACGAATCTACAACCCTATGAGTTATATGGGCGGCGGTTATCACTTAAAATCAGGCGAATCATCTGCTTGTCACCTTTTCACATAAAAAAGTAAGAAGATAAACCATTAAAGATAACGATGCTCAACGATATCGGCCTACGAACGAGCGGGCAACAAGACAAGTCGACTTATATCGATCGGTGATTACGGACGCCTTTCGCAGACGTTCGTGTTGGCGCATACGGGCGCGGCGTGCCGCAGGGAGGAGAACTTCTGGCGTGCGCAGGAGTACCTGCCCGAGCGCTGGTGCCGCGTGCGGGAGCCCCACGCTGCGGCCCTGGTGGCGCCGTTCGGCCGCGGCCGCCGCATGTGCCCCGGCAAGCGTTTCGTCGAGCTGGAGCTCCACCTCATACTGGCCAAGGTACCGTCAGCAGCGCAGATTTCGACTGTACAAGAACGAACGGAATGGAATGAACCTCACAGAATTGACTACTCTTAGTACTCGGCGATCCGGATTCTTAATTTACGAACTTTGGTACGTCCACGCTCGAACTCGTTTAATTGTAATCAGTGGCACGGGATGACGCTTCATTATTTAATACCAATCGAAGTCTATCATAGCTTTTGCTGAGTAAGACCGAATGAAAGTCGTAATAAACCAGGGACAGAAAATTTTCTCGCGTTAAATTAGTTTCGAGGTGTGTCAAGATTTTTGGACTTGGCAAATTGAATTTTTTAATTAAAAACAAATGACAAATAATTGCAATGTATCACATTATTACCAAAGAGAAAGAATTTTTCATTGGTAATGTTAATCAGATAAAATCAATACAGTTTCTAAATTATCTTTTTATATGGAGTTACCAATTCGAGCACGCTTATTATTAAGCGCCCGTTTTTCTTTGTCGCCTGATTTCTGTACCTCGTAAGCTCGTCGGGTCATCCGTTCGGCAGTACGAAGTTCCACTTCATACTGGCGAAGGTACTTAAGGTTGCCGGCAGCTGCGCGATCTCGACTGTAAAGCACAGACAGACAGAAGGGACTGAGCCTCACAGAATTGACCACTATGAAGAAGAGGAGCTAGTTAACTTATAATACTCGGCGATAAATATTGCATATCGACCTTTGGAAAGAGACAATCGACTATTTAGGTTTCGTATAGCGTTATCTCTGTCACAAACTGTCTGTCTCTCTGTTAGTGCTTATTTATTGTCGATGTATTATACTTCTCCCTTTTCTGTAGTTCTGTAGTAGACCACTACTGGTCGACCTACTCGACCGCTGTCTCTTACTAGTTTTTGCGAGATAATCAGTCCATCCTCTTTGTACATGATCAGTGTCACATTTTTTCCGTTGGTCGACCTGCGACGAATTTCATTAATAAAGTTCCGTGAACAAAATTCTCAATCAGCTGAAATCTAAGGCATTTTCCAGATATCACGAGGAGCACATGCATCACATTGCATTTAAACTTTCATTCAAACGACCCGATAATTATCAGGTTGACTCTTATCACACATATGCTTGTTAACGTAACGTCGCTTGACACTTGCGACATGCATCAGGCGGAAGTTATACATCATGGATTGAGTACGTCGTAGAGATGTTGTGAAATTTGACGGCGTCCCACACTCAGCACGACCTGGATTGCGTTAACATAACTGACATTAGATTCGTCTATGTATGGGTTAATTAAGAAATTTCTTTCTGAATCCTATTATTTATTTAACTTTTTTAAGACAAAAACTCTGTCAGTGGTTTGGTTTGAACTTATAAAAAGTCAAATATGTTCGTTTTTAATTGCCTACTTTTCTGTGAGAAGGTGGCTAGCGTGCTGGCGGTTCGCTTGATGTTAAGGCGCTGTATGCAGTAAAAATAGGTTTTTAAAAAAAAATTTAACATGATCTACATTTTATAGGAGCAAAAAAAATATATGTTAATCTTGATCTTACATTCTAATAGACCATTGTTTTCAAAACATATTCTCGATAGAAAAAAAAATCACGAATCAACCTCTAAACGTGAAATTCAAATAAAAAAATAGATATAATAAATGAACAAATCTTAATGAAATTAATATCAATGGTGTAGAAAATATTAATAAAAAGGACTGTTGTCTTAATTTGTTGATTGAAGTAAGATATTTGTAAACATTAATTTAATTCATTAAAATTTATTCGAACGCGATGGCCAAAACACCGCGCCACCGCGGCGTTGTTTCGGTTCTCTTCCAACTCCACACGTTGAACAGAGAGCGCTGAGGTGCGTTGCCTGATGGATCTATGCCGCTCGTCCTCCGCTCACCGTTACGAAATATGTTCCGTATTTATTTATTTTTGAGAGTTATAATTTTATTAAATCTTTCGAAATCACGAAACTAAAAAATATATACTCACATATTTCGTATTTTTAATTATTTGACAACTTTTTAACAACTAAAGCGTAATTTCAATATCTTATCTTGCGATTGTGTAAGGTTTATCAGTCCTATACATACAGTGGACCATCATTCTATAGGGATCGGGTTCAAATCCCTACATTTTTTTGTTATATTTTTTGGTGATTTTCTTTTTTGTAAATATTTTTAATTTAATGTTTGTTGATTTTTTATTTGTATAAATAATTACAACAGAATTTTATTGTATTTTTTGAACGTAGAATGCAACAGTTGGACAACAATCTATCAGAATCTGATCTATTTTATACAGCGTGTCGTTACCATCGCGACAATAAATGAACACACATATAGGGGATAACTTTTTAAAGTTGTATTAAACATTTAAATTCTTTAAACATTAATATTTACAGAGTTATTAAATTTTCCAAAACAAAGAATTTTAGAACACCCTTATCTATAAAAGCGTTACGTCAAGTTCATTTGTAAAGGTCACAAAGCATATGAATGGGTTGAATGAATTTAAAAGAGACAAAACATACTGTTAGAAGGAGAGGCTTGTAATACGACGCTGTTGCGCGAGTTGTATAGGAGTTGTATACGGATGCATTATCTGTGGGTACGGAATGTATTCTGTGACCAAGCTCTATGAAATTCAAGGAAGTTAAAGCAGTACTATGCATATACAGCGTGTCGTTACCATCGCGACAATAAATGAACACACATATAGGGGATAACTTTTTTAAAGTTGTATTAAGCATTTAAATTCTTTAAACATCAATATTTACAGGGTTATTAAATTTTCCAAAACAAAGAATTTTAGAACACCCTTACCTATAGAAGAGTAACTTAAAGTTCATTTGTAAAGGTCACAAAGCATATGAATGGGTTGAGTGAAAATAAAAGAGACAAAACATTAGAAGGAGAGGCTTGTACGCGAGTTGCATAGGATGTTACAAATTTTGTTTCTTTTTTACTTAATTAGTTTGTTTGAAAAATATTTTTTTTAAATTATGGATTTTTTTAACGTTAATATTTTTTTATGATTATTGGAAAGTAGCGTTAGACGTGTCTTCATTTATTGTCGCGATGGTAACGACACGCTGTATATAATAAACAAACTTTTCATTATTTCAAATTTTTAACAAGTCTTATATTGTATATAGTTTTTAATTTTTTTTATTAAAATATTTAATTATTTACCCTAAAAGAAAATTAACCTTTTATGAACACGAAAAATAATTGTTTTATAATTTTTTCATTAATTTATTTTGCACATTTTATGAACTAAAAACAAACATTTATATGTTTAACAAATTAAAATTGGAAAAGGTTTAAGAAAATATGTAAAAAAAAGTCGTATTCGTAATTTCTGCCGTGGAGACTATGAAATAGCTTAAAATTTTTATGAGCTATTACTTTAAATCAAAATAAATAATTATTCGTTTATTTATTGTTTTGTTGTAAGAAATGTCATTGCCTTCATTAATTTATTTGACCTTAACATTCCTGATAATTTAAAATAATTAATAGGAAGATTTTCTAAAATTGTTGATTGCTTTCTCATACTTTATATTTGTTTGTTTATTACTATTCCTATCATAATATAAGAGTAAAATACAATCATGGTCTATAAAAGATATTACATCTGTGTACATTATCGATAGCCTTCCATGATACGGATATTATGTTACGGATAGTATCCTACGGCTCATCACTACACACACACTAGATAAATGAATGACTTGGTCAATCGCCGCGTCGACGAATCTCGCGCGCTGCGCCTCGCTAAGCGGAGTTACCCATAGAGTAAAGTACTACCGAAAGTGGAGTTACCCCTCCTCCGCTTCCTCATACTTCACCACTCAAATAGTTAAAAATTCACTGCGTACAGCGCCTTAATACACATGCAATTCAACATAATGAAAATAATATTAACTGACACTTATAGAACTTTCATAATTCATTACTCAGAACGCTACTATAGAGTCCCTAGGGCATGTTTCATAAATAATACAATATTTTCCAATTTTACATTCCCTACGCACTACACTACACCTACTTACTAAAATACATTTGAACTTCAAAAGGTTCAATTTCCGCAGCGGCGAAAAACTTTTCGTCCTTATGAACAGTATGTACCTATAAAAATTTTAACTTAATAATTCAATAATTTTTATTGTATTTCAGATAATGCAGCAATGGCGCGTCGAGTTCGACGGGGAGTTGGACATCCAATTCGACTTCTTGCTGTCGCCAAAGTCGCCAGTCTCTTTGCGATTAGTCGAGTGGTAGAGAGCTTTAGTTATAGTTGTACAGTCGTCTGCATATCAAAGGTGGCACTTGCTTGTTCGGCCTATATCGTTCTATCGTCACACTTGAACGGCGCGCGACTGTACGCCACGGTTGCTTCCGATACAACGGGCCCACTGAATAGTTTTGTAAGACATTTATAATTATTGCTCTATTGTTATGCGTTAAATTATATTTGTGAGAATGCAATGTAATGAATAATATTCAACATACTTGTTGACAGCTTCACATCAATGAGATCATCAAAAGTAAGCAGGGCGTCGTAGCTTTTGCGAAGTAATTTTAAATATGGTTGTCTTATTTTTACGCAAAAACGTATACGTATATGCGTGAAAATAAGACATAGACAATAAGACAATAATAGTAAGAAACCTTACGGATTTCTAAATAATTTGAAATTTTCCTTTTTGAAAATACATTAAATTTCGAAGAACTTTACATTGGCCTTCGTTGTTGTTTCTTTAAAATGGTCATTACGTAAACTTTTTTCTCCAATACTCATAACACAAATTATGTATTGTTAGTATTATGTTTTATTTTTGTTAAGTTAAATGCTCGAAAGCTATGACGCTGTGCTGCATTCCGTCACAACAATTAATATTTTGATATTTCTGGATAATTATAGTTGTTTACAGCCGGAAAAATTTAAAAATTTTATAGAAGTGACAGGTAACTTAATGAGTAAGAAGAAAAGTTTTGATTTCTGTTTGTCTAATGTCCGTATGGAACAGTAATCGCGTTAATAATGGAATGTTGGTTGAGTTCAGAAATGACATGATTTCTGTTGTGTCTGTTACTTTCAATCGTCTTTAATTTTAAGATATTTGTGATGTTAAACAAGTATCAATGGTGGGGCGCTAATGTTATTAAATGTAAACTTATATACTTCTTTGCGCTTGTTGCATCCAAAATCCTGAGTTCGTGGTAATAGATTAGGGACGTGTGATTATCTAGTAGGGGTGTAGCAATCCCAATGAAACTTCTTTTTACTTTGAAACACTTGTATTAAGAACACACCGAACTGGTATGTTTACAAATGTAACAATAACCTATTAATAACTTATCAGTACCACGTTTGTCACAAAAAATTATCCTTCGTCCTCAGCCTCGGTATCTCTCTCAAATCTCATGCCAAAAATCAACAACATTAGCGCCCCCACCTTCGATACTTGTTTAACATCAAAAATAATGACTTTAGTCAATTGATATACTATTAAAGAGTATCTTAAAGAAGACCGAAATTAGCCGACATGATAGAAATCATGACAGGGCAGTGAAGCTTTACAGGGTATTGGCACAGTCGGCTCAAATTGTAAGTTTCTCTCGTAATTTAAAGAGCTGTCGATACATAATTGGTAGTTAGGTTTTTATATTTCATTGTTAACATAGTCCTACACTAGAGTAAGTACATAACTATACAACGTTGAAATATATGGCTGTGTTAATATCAAAAAGCATATTTATATTAATGTAATCAACCATAAATACCTCTTTAAACAAAGACTGTATACTAAAAGATCATGCAATTGTCCGCATTTATTGTAGGTTTAAGATAGTATCCACCATACGAGACGTTTTGATACGTAAAATTTAAATATAAGAATTAAATATAGAGATGACTGTTGTATATATCGCCTAATATGTATTCCCAATTAAAATTGACAGGGTGGAAGTTTGGAAGCTTTTTACGATTAATTAAATCGCGTGGTATAACAGTTTTATAAACTTTATTAATGTATATTACTATTCTTTTGTTTAAGATGTAAAGCACGTAAATACTTTTTGGAATCCATTTTGTTGTTATTTCCATTCATTATTGTATCCGAAAATAAAAATAAAATTTAATAGTAAGAATAACAACATTTGAAATAACATCTTCACAAGACTTTTATGAACGGTGGAAAATAAAAATCATTAATTTATAAAAACAAACAGTTACGATCAGGTCGGGAATCAGGAAAAATAATTTTGATATACCTACATCAGTTTCTTTATGATGCAAAGAAAAAAGGACTGAATTATATTGTGTTATTGGCTAAATAGCAAAATATATAGTTTTCTCAGCTGTAAACATTTCGACGGTAATAAAATTATAGTTGAATAAGCAAAAAGAAAAACTCACTGAACAATCGATTACAGTTACTGACACAACAGTTACAGATTTTAACAGTTTATTCTGAACTTTTGGTATTTCAAAAAGTATATAGGTGCATTCGCCAAGCAAAAGCGTCTCTTATAAAGAATAATGTAAGTCCGTGGTTGACATTAAAAAGAAATGATATATACAGCATTTCCGTATAAATATTGATATTGTTTGTATTTATTATGCTTTCTGGGTTAGGTTTTTGACTATTAAATAATTAATTCCGTCTTTGTTGGACTTTATTTAATAATGATTTTCTTATCATTAATTTTGTTCGTGATAACATAATTTAGATGTAAGTGACATTCGAGTATAACGGTATTGTTTTAGTTTAAAAATATAATCGAATTTATTATTAATAGATAAAATCGATACAGCTTCTAAATTATCGTTTTATTTAGAGTTACCAATTTAATCATGCTTATTAGTAAACACTCCCAAAAGGCTTAAGCTACTGGGTTTTTAGTCGCCTGATTTCTGTAGTTTCTAAGCTCATCGTGTACTATAATACATATGCAAGTAACGTGTACCAAAAACCGCGCGTTGCTCCGGCTAAACATCGAAACTGCAGACAGACAATTTGTTACAAGGCATTCACTGGCAGATAGATCATATTATATGGAACAATATATGTAACCATATTATAAGTTACTATTATAGGAAAAGAAATGGGATTTCCGCGAAAATACTTAAAATCCAGGAAATTGTCAACAAAATCCGAGTTTATGGTCAGTCTTACCGTCAGATGTTTGAATTTGAGCGAAATCCCCTAGATTTCTTTTGGTACCAAATGTTAATATCTATTATTGTCAATAATATTCGAAATAAAAATGATTTACGTTTAAAATCTTGCTTAGTGAGGTTTAAACACACATAATCATATCGGTGTCTTTACGGGAGTTGTTACCGAGTGGTGCACTAGCTGTTTGCGCATGGTAACTCGCGAGCCACGTGATCTGGTGACTATACATATCCATAGAAGTCCGTGATAAGAAAACTAAACTTACTTAGTTAGGCGGTGCGTTTCTGGCGCAAACGGATCACATAATCACAGCGATTTCAATTACCGCTTAAGCAATATTACAAGCTCAATTTCCAATCGACACATTCAAGGCTGTGTCGATTGGAGATTGTTTTCCAGCTCTGCAAAAGCACTACTATAGTGCATACGATGTTATGCCTTTTTTACCATCGAACCCTTAACTTTAAGGGACACATAAAAAAAATTAAGTGCTAGTTTCGTTTTCATCACCGCTTAAGTAGCACTTTTAAGAATTGAGGTGACATTTAAGCGGTGCTGAAAATGAAATTAGCACTTATTTTTTTAGATGTCACTTAACATTAGGGATCGATGGTGAAAACGGGCAGTAGTGTAGTAGACACACGACACTGTGTTTTGACGGAAAAGTACAATGCGAATTCGGGTTCTATTCAGACTGCGGTAACTAACAGTGTATGTCCGTCAGAAGGATGTGCATGTGGGGAAAGATGTTCGGTACATGTTGGTCCACTATCTGCACTGTACTTTGTCGTACATGCAAAACGCTAAGCCAACAAAAAATGCGCTGATATGAATGAAATAAAGTCCAGTTTGAGATCTCGAACTTAACTTTATTACTGATAGACCGCCCAGTCGACACGATCATTCGAAGTTCGAAGTTGTTTTGCTGTATATTGCCTGCGTTTCTGTGTGGTGGAAGCCCGCACTAAGAAGTTCAGTCTTTAGCGGTGTTTTTGTCTGTAGCTTGAATGTTTAGTTAGGGTATAGGACTCGAAGCAGTCTGGCTTGTAGAAGTAAATGTTTGACCTGAGGCATTGTCATCCAAGTAAAGTGATGGCTTGAATCTGATCGCTTGAACTTGTAATACAATCGTGGGTGTATTAGCTATGGCAGTCTTATCAAATATCCGCTATTTGTGAAGCCATTAGGCTTGATAAATAAAACGCCAACTAAAACTTCATTTACCGTGCCACATTCGTCACCTTGATTGAAGATGATGCTGTTGTATAGACACCTGGAGTATGGGCACCTCTTTATTTCCAGTCGGGTATGTTATGCTCCAAAGTGGGAATGTCTAGCTTATGTGCACATAAATGAGGAGACGATAGACAGATACCTGGAGGAACACTTTGATATTTGTAACATTGATTCGGTTCCTAAGCTTTTTTAGTAAGGCTGTTTGGCAAATAAATTAATTCAGAGATTGTTTAACACTAACTGACGTTTCTAAGTACGGCTGTGTATGTAGTTGACTGTTAACTTCTACTAATTGAATGATGCAAGTGTTATATAGACCAAGAAAAATATTCGTTTCAAAACGCGTACCTACGTTATGTCTTATTAGCTTTTTCCATGTAAAAAAGATTCCAACATCGCCATCTACCGGTATAAGTAATAATTATTTGAAATTGAGCAACCTATGGGAATTTAGATTATAACTAGGGTTGCCAACTGTTTTTGAGAAAAATAAAGTATCACATATTATGTAAAGTTGAGTAAACATAAAAGTAACAGCCTATACATGTCCCACTGCTGGGTAAAGGCCTCCTCTATAGAGAGGGTATCAGGGCATAGTCCACCACGCGGCCCCACTGCGGATTGGCGGACTTCGAAATACATTTTTTTTTGTTATGACTTCGAAAATATGCAGGTTTCCTCACGATGTTTTCCTTCACCGCGGAGCACGTGATAAGTCAGCACTTAAAGTTAAAAACTTTTTACGTTACAAGCTCCTACATATTCGTTTAGAGTCCTTCCTTTATTTAAAACTTCATATGATTCTCTTCCTTTCTGTCCTACTATTTGTGTTTCACTCAACATAGATAGGTCCGATTG